AGAGAATGACATAGATGAATAAATTACTTAACTAAATTATTATAAGGTTAACACTCTTATAACACCATCCAGATCAAAAAACAGAAATTGGGTACCCACCGAAAGCCTTCTCTTTGCCTCACCCATCGCGCCCTCTCCCTTCCCACAAGGAAACACTGGCCTGACTTTACTGCAACCATTTTCTTACCTTCCCTTTAGTTTTATCACCCAAGTGTGCATCCTTTTTCAGATAGGGTTTTTAGGTCTATTTTATTTTATTTTTATTTTTAACTTTTTAAGGTCTATATGAATCTACAGCTCCTCCATCCATCTCTCCCTTTTCTTATAAAAATGATTTTTGAAGAAATGGAACCATTTAAATCTATAAAATAGCAAAGTTTCCCATAGCCTGAATTTTGCTGATTACATCAATACAAATATTGTAGCTAGTTAGTATAAATCAAGCCATAAGGAGAATATCAGGTAGAATGAAATGCAAACATCTTGTCTGCCAAATTCACAGGAGCATTAAGACTCCTCCTCTAACAAAACCATGGGACGATGATGATGATTTATTTATTTTTTTTGTTTTTACTAATCTGCTTCTTCCTTTCTCTTGCTGCCTCATAACCCATACATTTCACAGAAAATCTGGTAAAGGGAAAATGCCATGTTGGATATATAAGAAAGTAAAAAAAACCCCATAAACATAAACAAAACAAAAAAAAGAGATTTTTCTCGGGAAGGAAATGGAAAGGACCAACAACCTCTACTCAGTCCTTTGGTTATTTGTAAGTTTTGGCACTTTTCTTTCTTTAAGAGGCAGCCGGGTCAGCTACCAGCAGGAAAGAAATAGATGGTGGCAAAGCAAAATTAATACAAAGGTAACAAAAAAATCAATGCGATTTTTCTTTAGTGCAATGAAACAAGCCATATTCATTTCCCCCTCATTTTTCCTCTTTCCGCCACAGTCTTTTCAAGCCTTACTTTCTAAGCAATGGCCTTCAGGCAAGGGATAAGAATAGCTGTGTAGTTAGACCTACTTGTTGTGAGATCTAAAGGCAAATTATTTAACACACGTTTCCTTGCATGAACAGTGAAGATAATCTGTACCTTACAAGGTTGTTGGGGAGCTCCACTGAGATAACAGCTATAAAGTGTCACAAAGTAAATGCATAACAAATGTCAGTCTCTTGGTTTTGCCTCTTCTCTGCCAAGTTGTATCCATTTTCCTTTAAATATGTTGACTTCAAAAATTCAAGCCGTTGAAAATCAAAAGTTCAAATAAAGGACATAAAAAAATCCTAAATCTTCATTTCACCCTATGCAGAATAAACCTTTTTGACAATGTCCTTGTGAATTTAGATACTTGGCAACATGCTTAAACTTTAAGAACCAGGGACAAAACCCCTCCTTCACAATGTTTCCTCCATTCATCCTTTCTGTTCATTCCCCTGCGACCTTGCTGGTTTGGCACTATTTAATCAATCAGATAGCAAAAGGGAGACTGCAGATCATTTATTCCAACCCTCATTTTACTGGAAAGCCCAGAGTGACTTGCCTAACCACACTCTAGTTCACAGCTGAGGCTAGACTACAGCCTCTAACACTGGTTGCACAATAAATGCCTCCAAGGGCCAGTAGGTAAAAAAGATGAGAATAAAGGAGGGTCCTAGGTGGGGAGCGCAGCTGCTCTGAGCTGTGAACTTCAGCTATAGTTACCATGTGGGACAGGTGGGGAAGAGGGCCAAGTGCTGCTAGAACTTCTAGCATTTAAATCATTGAAACTTGAAACTTTATATATAATCTACTTGCTTTTAATCATTGAAACTTGAAACTTTATATATAATCTACTTGCTTTTAATGCTGGCAATGTATTAAACATTTTTTAAAGCCTCTCTGCGAGTCAAACAAGACACATCTGTGGGCTGGATTTAGCCAATTTGAGGCCTCTGCATCCTGGTAACCTTAAATTCCTTTTATTTAATTTGCTTTGATTCTCATACTCCTTGCTCAAAAAACCTTCGATGGTTCCCCATTGTCTACAAAGTCCAAATTTCTTAACCAGTCCTTCAAGGCAATCTGTAGCCATATTTAAGACCCCAAATTCTATTTCCACCTTACAGTCTCCATGCTCCACTGCAATTAGAATGGCTACTGACCTCTACACCAGGTACACAAATATTCAAAAAGACACCTGACCCGGCCTCGTGGTCTGTCCTTGGTCCTCATACTTTCCCTCTCTTGGACTGACTTCCTTCTACCTGTGCACTCCCATCAGTGAAACTCTGTCCACCCTTAAGTGCCCAGCTTAAATACCACCCTTCCACAAAATATCCCTGGTGGCCCCTGCGAAAAGCACCTTGCTCCGAATTTCTTTAGGACTTTATATCACTCACATGACACTTAAAGCATGCTCCCAGCTTTCAGAGTTACCTGCACAGTTCATTTCCCCAAGCACCTAATAATACTCCTAGAAGGAGAGGTTTGGATTTGAAGACTATGGTGTTTTGAACAAAGCCGGAGGCTCAATAAACATCTTAGAAAGATTACCCTGTTATACAGAAAACTTGTGGACCAAACATGAAGAAAATACCTTTACAGAATTTATTGCATCTGTACTTTCACAGGTAGACTCCTGAGTGACAAAGAAAGGTCAAAGACCTCACTTCTCTGGTTTCCCAAAACATTTTCCCCACTGAACTACTACCTTCTACCTGCTTGGAGATTTCCTCCTCTAGAAGCACTCACATTTTTGCCCTGGACAACACTGATTCTAAGAGACCACTGTTAAATAGTCATCTGTTGTATGAAAGTGTTAGTTTTTTGCTATGAGTAAGGTTAATTTATCAGTCTGATGGTTATCACTTGACATTGTCATCAAATAGTTTACTGGTGATAAAATTGATTAAACCCTGGCTATCCATCAACCAAGGCTAATTTTCAGTGGGAGAGTCTTAAACTTGTATCTCACACTTTGTTTTTCTGGAACTACCCCCATTTTCAGTCATCTACATTCAACGATGTCAAAAAAAGAAAAGAAAAAAAAATAGACTCTATTTTATTTTTACTGACCTGGCCAGCCCTGGAGGCACTCAATCAAATGTTTGCTGAGTGAATTTTAAAGTCAATTTTCACAGTCCTGTATATCGTAGAAGATGGCCTAAATGTGTACAACAATGGCAAAAGTTGATACAATTTTACCTCAAACTATAGTTTAGATGTCAGCTGAGTAATTTCAATCAGCATATGCCAGACACACCCTTTTCAATCTGTACAAATACATATTGTCAGTGGCAAGTTAGGCCTTGCAAACATAAAGTTAAGTCCTCACATTTATGTCACGTGGTAACCCGTTTTGATGTTAGAGAGCCAAGACAATATTGAATTCCAGGAAACATCAAAGAAAACTGATGACAGGGGTTTCCACTGTGAAAACAATGGTTTTTTTTTCCTGTTCTGGATGATGCCATTCATTGTAAGTCACAACTACTAACCCTCTAATTTCTTTACCAAAAGAAAAAAAAATGTTTGTTCTTAAACCTTCACTGGGAGTACTTCTAGCATAAACACATTGTAACATGCTTATAACCTATGTGAGCATAAGCATAGTTTAACAGACTCAAAGAGCTTCCCATGAAAAGCAATTCTTGGGGCTCCTGGGTGGCTCAGTCGGCTGAGCATCAGACTTCGGCTCAGGTCATGATCTCATTCATGGTTTGTGAGTTTGAGCCCCAGGTCGGGCTCTGTGCTCACATCTAGCTCAGAGCTTGGAGGCTGTTTCAGATTCTGTGTCTCTCTCTCTCTCTGACCCGCCCCTGTTCATGTTCTCTTCTCTCTCTCTCAGAAATAAATAGAAAAACACTTAAAAATTAAAAAAAAAAAAAAGAAAGAAAGAAAAGCAATTCTTTTCTTTGTACCTCCTGTGAAGGAAGATGTCCAGTAGGTTACAGACAGAGACAAAGAGGCTCAAAGTCCCCTCACCTTTCCTACTTTAGTATGTTTTGTGGTAAAACAGACTTAGTGCAAATACTCTCCCCTGTGTTGAAAACTAGTAGGGTGAACATAGTTATTTTGTCTTTATATTAAAAAAAATCTGTGTTAAATTTCTGAAAACAAAATTTTAACATTTTAGAAATATTCAAAACACTTTTCAAGCATAAAAGGAATGCTAAGACTTTTATTGTTGGTTCAAACACGTTTTAGACCAATAACAAACAGTTTGACTACATTGTTGTAAAATAAGAAAGCCCGCGGAGTTGCTAAAGAACAAGACAAAACACACTTATGATCACAGGTGGAAGCCTGGGATGCACTACATCAAGTTCGCCTGCCCCCACTTGAAAGAATACAAATGCGTCTAGAGAATGGGCTCGCCAGAGCTGTGTCTCTGACCTTAAACCAAGCCAGAAATAAAGGGGCAGCTCCAGTCCCCTTCGATCTCGCTCAATGTGTGTTTCCAGCAGAAACTGGCCTTGTTGAGGCTGCCAATGTTTTCCCGAAGGAGCGGTGAGACGGGGAGGGAGTCAAGCAACTGCCACCCGAGAATATCGGTGCTCTTCGCGCGGAATTGGGAAGAGCGGTGTGCTGAGACTGTGGGGACACTCAGGCACGCAGAGCATCTGCACTGGGGTGACATTTGGTTGCCCTTCATGAGCTCCCTGCTTCTGACAATGGGGTATCCTTTTTTTTTTTAACTGTAAAATGATCCTGGGAAGGGCGTGGAATATGGTGGAAGGAGATTCACCCCACACTCCTAGAATCCTTCCGGGAGAAGGCGGATTCAGTGTTCGGGACCCAGAGGCCCAGGAATGACCCCGCCGAGGTCACAACCGCAGACTTTTGCGCCCCAGTCCCAGGGACCGACGCCGCGGGGAGGAAGGCCGGGGGCGCCCGCGCTCTCCCCAGCTGGGGGCAGTTAAGTGAACGTGTGGCAACATCCTAACCCCGTGGCCTGAGAGCCGGCGCGCGGGCGGCCCCGCCCTTGTCCCCGCCGGGCGACAGGGCCGGCCGGCCCTTACCTGGTTCCTGCGGTACCACGCGCCAGACAGGGAGCCGTTGCCGGCGCCCAGCGCCCCGTACGTGAAGTTCCGGGACAGCTCGTCCACGGCGGCCGAGGCGGCGGCCATTGGGGCTCGCTCCCGGCGCTCGGGCTCGGGCTCCGGCCGCCTCGCGGCCCCGCCGCTCCGCCAGGCGCCGCCGAGGAGGCGCGCCCTGCGGAGGCCGCGCCCGGGCCGCGCCGGGGCCACTTCCTGCTCGGCTCCGCGGACGGCGGGCGCGCCGGGGCCACCTGGCTCCCGCCCTCGCGCGGCCGCAGGTGCGGCGCCCGCCCGCCCGCACGCCCCGCCCGGCGCGGCCTCAGCCCTCCCGCGCCAGGTGCCCGCGGGGAGCCCCGCCGGCTGCGGCCTCCCGGGGCGGCTCGCCGCGCCCCTGACCGCCCAGGGCGGATCCCCGAGCGCGCGAGGGGGCCGCACCTGCCGGGGCGACAGGGACGTGTCTCCACCGGCGCTTCCAGCCCCGGCCAGCGCTCGGGCAGTAAGCACTGAAGTGAATGGGAGACAGACCCATCCGGCCCAGCGCGGCCAGCCACCGTCGCCCCGTCTGTACCTGATAGCACCGGCTATGACACTTTCCTCACTTGCTTTCTCAGAGTTGTTTGCATATGGAAAAGTCACGAGTTCCCGAAAATATTGTAAGCAGCATGAGAATAAAGGTTGGATCGATTACATCTGGATGCCAACAACTGACAGACCTTCAGTAAATATTACTGCAAGGAAGGAAGGAATCTCCTGTGGTAGCTGGGGAACCCCAACGTTTCTTCCAGAAATGGGGTTTCCTTCCGATGGAACCAGAAGAAATTGCCGAAACGTTGCCAGCTACTGGATATAAGAATTTAGAATGGGAGATAACTGTTAAGGGTCTTAATGAACTCTAACTAGATGTTTTGGTTTTGTCTATATTAAAATTCTACTGTGTTACTACAAATGATTTGTAAGATAGCTCCGACCTTGAGGTTCCTAGGATTCTATATTGTTGCCTGAAGCCCTGGAACTTGCAATTCTTTTCTTTACAGAATGATGAGGTTCTTCTTACATAATGTGTTTTGACTGCCATGACTTCATTACAGATAGACCTTCAAGAGAAGGGAATAGCTGCCTAGTGGGAAAGCTGGGAGAAAGTATTCAGTGTTTATTAAGGGGAAGTGAGCAGCTGAGAGGAGGAAATGAGAAAAAATATGTTAGGTAGAGAAATATCAAGACATGTCTCTAGGTTCTGTAGTTTTTTGCTCAACGAACAGTTAATATGGTAGCTAACTACCTGCAATCTTAAGAGGCTAATTTATTTCAAATTAATATCTGAAGGAAAAATTTTTTTAATATCTTCTATAATATCACATTGTGTTGGTGATTTATTAATGCTTCCATCAGTTGAGATGCTTTAGGGTACAAGTAACAAAATATCCCAATACAAGTGGCTTAGACAACAAGCATCTGTTATCTCTGGAGGGAATGTGATTCTCTGTGCCTCTGTGATATCGTCACTTCCATCTTTCTGCTCTACCGTGCCTGATGTATCAGGCTTTTTCCCTTTTCGTGGTGGCAGCTCTGGGCATTACATGCAAAAATAACCACATTCAGAAAAAAGGCAAGGCATCTCTTCTTATGCATTGTTATTGGAGAGGAAAACCTTATTCAAACTCCCCCAGCAATCTCCCCTTAAGGTCCCATTAGCCAGGACTAGGGTCACATGCCCATCCATGTTCTACCTGCAAGGGAGGTTGGGAAAGGGATTCTCAGGCATTTCCAGCCTTCAGAGTGAGAGGCGAGCCCTATCAGCAAGGGAGAAACCAGGATGGGGTGGGAGGGTACTATCAGCAGAGCCTGGCACAACCACTCCTTAATGTATTCTATCAGCCAGATTGTAAGTAGTCACACAGTCTCTAACAAGCAAGATAATAAATGGATCGTGTTACTTTTCTGTTTAAAATGCTAACAACCCCCCCCCCCCCCCCCCCCCCCCCCCCCCCTGACACAATAACGTTTACACTCTTACGCTTGGCCTATGAGACACTTTCTGATCTGGCCCCCATACTCTGCTACACTCAAATCACTCTCATTCTATNTACCTGTGCACTCCCATCAGTGAAACTCTGTCCACCCTTAAGTGCCCAGCTTAAATACCACCCTTCCACAAAATATCCCTGGTGGCCCCTGCGAAAAGCACCTTGCTCCGAATTTCTTTAGGACTTTATATCACTCACATGACACTTAAAGCATGCTCCCAGCTTTCAGAGTTACCTGCACAGTTCATTTCCCCAAGCACCTAATAATACTCCTAGAAGGAGAGGTTTGGATTTGAAGACTATGGTGTTTTGAACAAAGCCGGAGGCTCAATAAACATCTTAGAAAGATTACCCTGTTATACAGAAAACTTGTGGACCAAACATGAAGAAAATACCTTTACAGAATTTATTGCATCTGTACTTTCACAGGTAGACTCCTGAGTGACAAAGAAAGGTCAAAGACCTCACTTCTCTGGTTTCCCAAAACATTTTCCCCACTGAACTACTACCTTCTACCTGCTTGGAGATTTCCTCCTCTAGAAGCACTCACATTTTTGCCCTGGACAACACTGATTCTAAGAGACCACTGTTAAATAGTCATCTGTTGTATGAAAGTGTTAGTTTTTTGCTATGAGTAAGGTTAATTTATCAGTCTGATGGTTATCACTTGACATTGTCATCAAATAGTTTACTGGTGATAAAATTGATTAAACCCTGGCTATCCATCAACCAAGGCTAATTTTCAGTGGGAGAGTCTTAAACTTGTATCTCACACTTTGTTTTTCTGGAACTACCCCCATTTTCAGTCATCTACATTCAACGATGTCAAAAAAAGAAAAGAAAAAAAAATAGACTCTATTTTATTTTTACTGACCTGGCCAGCCCTGGAGGCACTCAATCAAATGTTTGCTGAGTGAATTTTAAAGTCAATTTTCACAGTCCTGTATATCGTAGAAGATGGCCTAAATGTGTACAACAATGGCAAAAGTTGATACAATTTTACCTCAAACTATAGTTTAGATGTCAGCTGAGTAATTTCAATCAGCATATGCCAGACACACCCTTTTCAATCTGTACAAATACATATTGTCAGTGGCAAGTTAGGCCTTGCAAACATAAAGTTAAGTCCTCACATTTATGTCACGTGGTAACCCGTTTTGATGTTAGAGAGCCAAGACAATATTGAATTCCAGGAAACATCAAAGAAAACTGATGACAGGGGTTTCCACTGTGAAAACAATGGTTTTTTTTTCCTGTTCTGGATGATGCCATTCATTGTAAGTCACAACTACTAACCCTCTAATTTCTTTACCAAAAGAAAAAAAAATGTTTGTTCTTAAACCTTCACTGGGAGTACTTCTAGCATAAACACATTGTAACATGCTTATAACCTATGTGAGCATAAGCATAGTTTAACAGACTCAAAGAGCTTCCCATGAAAAGCAATTCTTGGGGCTCCTGGGTGGCTCAGTCGGCTGAGCATCAGACTTCGGCTCAGGTCATGATCTCATTCATGGTTTGTGAGTTTGAGCCCCAGGTCGGGCTCTGTGCTCACATCTAGCTCAGAGCTTGGAGGCTGTTTCAGATTCTGTGTCTCTCTCTCTCTCTGACCCGCCCCTGTTCATGTTCTCTTCTCTCTCTCTCAGAAATAAATAGAAAAACACTTAAAAATTAAAAAAAAAAAAAAGAAAGAAAGAAAAGCAATTCTTTTCTTTGTACCTCCTGTGAAGGAAGATGTCCAGTAGGTTACAGACAGAGACAAAGAGGCTCAAAGTCCCCTCACCTTTCCTACTTTAGTATGTTTTGTGGTAAAACAGACTTAGTGCAAATACTCTCCCCTGTGTTGAAAACTAGTAGGGTGAACATAGTTATTTTGTCTTTATATTAAAAAAAATCTGTGTTAAATTTCTGAAAACAAAATTTTAACATTTTAGAAATATTCAAAACACTTTTCAAGCATAAAAGGAATGCTAAGACTTTTATTGTTGGTTCAAACACGTTTTAGACCAATAACAAACAGTTTGACTACATTGTTGTAAAATAAGAAAGCCCGCGGAGTTGCTAAAGAACAAGACAAAACACACTTATGATCACAGGTGGAAGCCTGGGATGCACTACATCAAGTTCGCCTGCCCCCACTTGAAAGAATACAAATGCGTCTAGAGAATGGGCTCGCCAGAGCTGTGTCTCTGACCTTAAACCAAGCCAGAAATAAAGGGGCAGCTCCAGTCCCCTTCGATCTCGCTCAATGTGTGTTTCCAGCAGAAACTGGCCTTGTTGAGGCTGCCAATGTTTTCCCGAAGGAGCGGTGAGACGGGGAGGGAGTCAAGCAACTGCCACCCGAGAATATCGGTGCTCTTCGCGCGGAATTGGGAAGAGCGGTGTGCTGAGACTGTGGGGACACTCAGGCACGCAGAGCATCTGCACTGGGGTGACATTTGGTTGCCCTTCATGAGCTCCCTGCTTCTGACAATGGGGTATCCTTTTTTTTTTTAACTGTAAAATGATCCTGGGAAGGGCGTGGAATATGGTGGAAGGAGATTCACCCCACACTCCTAGAATCCTTCCGGGAGAAGGCGGATTCAGTGTTCGGGACCCAGAGGCCCAGGAATGACCCCGCCGAGGTCACAACCGCAGACTTTTGCGCCCCAGTCCCAGGGACCGACGCCGCGGGGAGGAAGGCCGGGGGCGCCCGCGCTCTCCCCAGCTGGGGGCAGTTAAGTGAACGTGTGGCAACATCCTAACCCCGTGGCCTGAGAGCCGGCGCGCGGGCGGCCCCGCCCTTGTCCCCGCCGGGCGACAGGGCCGGCCGGCCCTTACCTGGTTCCTGCGGTACCACGCGCCAGACAGGGAGCCGTTGCCGGCGCCCAGCGCCCCGTACGTGAAGTTCCGGGACAGCTCGTCCACGGCGGCCGAGGCGGCGGCCATTGGGGCTCGCTCCCGGCGCTCGGGCTCGGGCTCCGGCCGCCTCGCGGCCCCGCCGCTCCGCCAGGCGCCGCCGAGGAGGCGCGCCCTGCGGAGGCCGCGCCCGGGCCGCGCCGGGGCCACTTCCTGCTCGGCTCCGCGGACGGCGGGCGCGCCGGGGCCACCTGGCTCCCGCCCTCGCGCGGCCGCAGGTGCGGCGCCCGCCCGCCCGCACGCCCCGCCCG